CTTCTCTCACTCTGCTCATTTGTTTCCTGTGTCACAGTTCTTCAGTCTTCAGGAGCTTCTCTCTCTTCCATGAATTAACTGCAGAGTAACAGAATGTTCATATGGTCTCCTATATAATAAAAGCCTAGGTGGCGTCACATGCAATGTCATCACAAGATGGCCACCACAAGATGGCCACCCTCACATCATTACAAGATGGCCATCACAAGATGGCCGGCACGGGAGGGCAGTTGGGGACAACCAGGCCAGCAGGATGCACGCCTAAACTGGCAGTCAGACATCCCCCAAGGGGTCCCAGATTGGAGAGGGTGCAGGCAGGGCTGAGGGACACACACCCCCTGCACGAATTTCATGCACCGGGCCTCTAGTAAGGAAATAAGATTGTGTGTTCCCTAACCTTGTGGTGCTTTATTCATAAACTCCTGTGCTGCCCCTTGAGATACAGAGATGTGCAGGAACTTGGCTTTTCCCTTGTAAAGAACAGTGGACACTGTACTCTCTGCTCACATGGGACGATCATGAGAGACCTGAGGACTGTCCTTGTCACGCTTTGGAACTTGATTTGTAACCATCTGTTACATGTGATGAACTGAGTGCAGGACCCCTCTTTGCCTCCCTCCCTCAGCCAGGCACCTCTCCAGTCCTCCCGAGTTCAGTCTAGCGAGCTCCCCGACCTACTGGGTCCCCGTGGAGAACAGACTACCCCCATGCCTTCCATCTGGCACCCTCACCGGCTCCTCTCAGACAGTTCTCCCCTTTCTTGAGGCATGAGGGGGCCTGACCATGAGCCTTCTTTTTCAGGAAAAGCCGCATGGATGTTTGTTTCATATTCTAAATGAATTAGAGTCTTGACATTGAAAGCGATGATTGGTACGAGTACTTCAGGGATCCTCTCTCTGTATCTAGAGAAATTAGTACCTTGTCCTTGATACTGACGTCGACGGGATTGTTCACGGTTTGAACCAGTCTTTGAGAACAGCCTCTTTATACTTTATACTTATTTCCCAGAGATGAGCTCCCTCTTTTCTCAGCCAAAGGAGAGAGTGTGGTTGGTTTGATGGATTTTAGCCTCTTTCTTAAGGAGCCAATAAGAAAAGAGTGACAGCCGGCCCATGCAGCGCCTGACTGTCCTCTCTAAGCCCTGTCTCTGTGATTCCCCCACAGGAGCGAACACCCGCTGGCCCAACTGTACTGCCACTCGACCCTGGAGCACCACCACTTCGACCAGTGCCTGATGGTCCTCAATAGCCCGGTGAGGCCCGGCGCGTGGCAGCCCGGAAGCTGCACAAACGCGGGGATATTTTAAGTGTTTGGGTTCATACCCAGGATCCTAATTCCCGGGTGTGCGTCATTCTTTTTTGGGTAAGGAAGGCCGAGGTCCCCACAGCCTCGTCCCTGTGCACCCTAAGCTGCCAGCTGCCTGATAAGGGGGTTTGCTTACTCGCCTCACTTCGTTACTCCACATTGTTCCAAACTAGAAGCAAGCAAAGCTGGTGTCTTCTGGCTCTCCATTAATTCCGCCTTTTTTTGGGGGGGGGGGAGGGGGCGTAAAATTAAGTGGGTAATACAGTGCTCAAGAACCTTTTCCTCTTTTTACTAAAACTTCTGACCGCGAACAAATTATTAAGGGATGAAGCTGTTCAATGCCTGGTGGAGACGGATGTTTATCCGTGTGAGAAAGCACATGACATGCTATGCTAGACGTATTTCTGTGGAGGGAAGTAAGCTTGAGAACATGTATACCAACCCGTTGGCCATGGTTGTTTCTGCCAAGTTAATACTTGTTAAACTCTGGTTCCTCCATTACTCGCATGGTCTGTTGTGTGCATGCCTGGCATTATAGTAAGAAGCATGAGTTATAGCTGCTGCTGGGACATCCTCCTACAGCATGCTCCCCAACTCGAAGCAGACCCCTCTCTACACTCTGTCCCTGGAGGCCCCCACACGCAGCGGTTTACAGCCTTTGCCTGGGAAAGGGGAAATAAGCACATAACAGCGAAGACATTTCCTTTTTGACATCTCCTTTCCCCTGGAAATGGTTTGACCTTACACCCAATGAAAATATCGGAAGATATTTTCTGAATAGTTTTCTGTTCAGCCCAGAATCTAAAATGACTTGATATTTAAAAGTAATGTTCGTCAGTTCGTCAGTTAGACACATGCCCAATTTCAGCCTCCAGCTCTCCACTAAGCGAAGATCTTATCTGGGCCCGGCACCCCCGAGTGCCCCGTGTTCAGAAGCACCCGCTGCCCTGGACCCCAGTCCTGAGCTGCTGGTTCCCTCAGCCCTGGGACTTAGAAAGCACACCTGCCTCCCATGCAGATGTTGAGTTTATTCTGAGAACCGAGGCACGTTTTACTCAATTCGAGATGAGAGATTTGCTTTAAATCTCTTTTAAAGCAGATTTGCTTTTAAATCTCTTTTATTGTGTTGGCAGGCACAACACAATAATTATGTAGTTACGGCGTTTGAGTGTTTGCCCGGGGATCAGCCCCTTTTAAAGAGTCCTTCTTGGTTTCATAACATGTGTGCTTCCCACCAGGAAGCCCACCTATAGGCATGTTCCCAAGGACTACGTGCTGCTCTTGATATTAAGTTAAAATTACATAAACGTGTGCCAATGTGTCACTGGATTTATTACAAAAACCATAGAGAAAAAAAATGTGTTAGTTATCAATTATTTAGACGTTTCACCATTCTGTTCTTCATTAATGTGGCTTTGAGTTTTCAAGCTTCACTTCCAGTTGCAATGTAGCAAGTAAGCTGCCCATGGCTAGATAGTTAGCCTTTAGGCTGGCGGAGGCCCGGGGGGTAGGCAGTTGGCAGACAGACACAGGAGGTGGGTGCACCAGCGAGAAGCCAGCGTTTCCTAAGAGACCAGGCCGTGGCATTAGGCATTCACTCTCTGGAAGCAGGTGGCCCATGCGTATGACTCCGAACCCCAGGCCCGTGGTTTAGCTGTGACCACGTGTTCCGCTGTCCTTGTGGTGTGCTCCCGTGGGGTACTCCTGGAGGTGCTCCTGTGCGGTGCTCCCGTGGGGTGCTCCTGTGCGGTGCTCCCGTGCGGTGCTCCAGTGGGGTGCTCCCGTGGGGTGCTGACGATGGTTTTCTTCTCTGTGAAGGGGAACCAGATCCTCAGTGGCCTCTCCATCGAAGAGTATAAGACCGCGTTGAAGATCATCAAGCAGGCGATTCTGGCCACAGACCTGGCCCTGTACATTAAGTAAGTCTCCCCAGTGCCCTGCGATGAGTGGGTGTGGGAAGAGTGTGCCGTGTTTCACATGGGGACACGTCTAGGTTATAGGACTGTGTGCAGTTCTTAGAGGCGGAAATGTGGAACTTGGACATTACTGACACAGGACGTAGTGTGCATTCATGGGTGAGTGTGCATGTCTGCGTGGACAGGCTGTGGTTTGCACATGGGACCATAGTCTGGGTGGCGTGTGGCAATGAGGGGAGAAGATGGTCACACTCACGTGATTTCCCTGGATACGTGGCCCTCTCTCCCCTTGCACGGGGAGTCACGCCTGTGCATAGGCCATTGATGAGGAGTAAGCACACACAGAGCAAACAGGAGCACGGACACCTAAAGGGAGCTGCCGCTGGCATCCCTGCTTCCTGAATTGGGGAGCACTTTAAACTCAACCAGGACAGTAGAGAACTGAGTCCATTTCAGCTGGTTCAACATGATCGCGGAGTAAAGATGATCATATAACCAAGAATTAGAAAAACACCTGTAACTACATGCCTCCTACCTTCCCAGGCCAGGGGTCTCTCTGGAACCGATGTTTCATTGTTGGTTCTTGGTCACAGGCTGTCCATTCTGTTCCATAAGTTCCCTGTTTTCCTGATGTCTCTGGCATCATGGCTTCTGGAGATGTCGACAGCACTGGGTATTGAGGAACTCCCTGGCCTCCAATAGAGGCTTCTTCCCGGTGTCTCCATGTTTCTTTGCCTCAGAAGCAGTTCACAACTTTACGCTGACATAGAGCACTTGTTATGCCTTTTTATTTACCCTATCTCATAATACAGGTGCATTATATGAAATTACACTGAAATCATATAGTTCTTCTTTGCCATGCACTTAAAATTCCTTAAATCATTCTCAGCATCCCATTTTAACTCACATTGTCTCACTTTTTAAATATACTTTTTAAAAAAATTTCAGAGAGGAAGGGAGAGGGAGAGAGCAATAGAAACATCAATGATGAGAGAGAATCATTGATCGGCTGCCTCCTGCATGCCCCCGACTGAGGATGGAGCCTGCAACCCAGGCATGTGCCCTGACTGGGAATCAAACCATGACCTCCTGGTTCATAGGTCAACGCTCGACCACTGAGCCACGCCGGCCAGCCCATCTCACTTTCATGAAGTTGTGTTTAGGAATGAGATTACCACTGTCTGTGGTCTGTACAGGTGAGGTCAATGCTTCACCCAAAGGAAATGGTAGAAGGAGGAAAAGGGAGGCATTCACAATTTTTAAATGATGGTTTTTATGTTGGGTTCTAAGATGGGTAAAATCCACTGGAGATTTTCTCCCCCCAAAAATAGAGTCCATGATTCTTTCTAGACCAAAGGAATAAGATGAGACCTAGGGACTCCTCATAACAATCAATGTTTTTCTTTCTTTCCAAGGAGGCGAGGGGAGTTTTTTGAACTTATAAGGAAAAACCAGTTCAACTTAGGAGACCCGCACCAGAAGGAGCTGTTTCTGTAAGTGGCCTCTGTCCGCCTCCACGCGGAGGTCTAGTTTCCAGTAAATGTGATTAGTGGCAGGTTGTGTTGCGAGCACTTGTCACAACCCGGTGACCTAGAGGCTGTGGGAATTCCCACGTTGAACCAAGGGCAGGACGTGAATGTTAAACAAAAGGAAATGCGTTGCAAAGTCACCTGAAGGAGCCATGCCTTTGTTCTGGGGGGACATTAGGATGTGGTGGAGCATCAGCACTTGGCGCTGAGGCTCCCGTGTTCGCATCCCAGACTTGGGAATGAGAGAGCACACATAGCACCCTAGAGATGTGGGAGCTACGAGCTGGTGGCAAGGTGTCCACTGTTCTTGGAAGATGGCAGAGCGGCAGGGTGGGGCTGGGCCGACCCGGATGTGTTCCCTTCAGCTGACCCGCTGGTCCCTCCACTTCAGGGTCCCATCCCTGGCTGCCTTTGCGGGGTAAGGGCTGTCCTCGTGAGAAAGAACAGAGTCAATAATAAGACAGAGCAGCACTAAGGACAGTGCGTTTCTTGAAATAGATTGTCAGCACTTGGCGTGAAGATGGAATTATGAAGCACCAGCCCACAGGGCCTGCTGTCTGTCCTGCAGTCTTGACAGTCTTGGGGTTCAGGGCAGCACCTCAGGAATCACCAGCTCTTGTTGATAACAAAACACAAATCCATGCGCAGCCGAGCCTGTGCCTCAGTGTTCACAGCTCAGCTCTCCTCCCTGTGGCCTCGAGGTCTCCCGGGCCACTCATTGTCACCCCCCCACTTCCCTTCATAGACCAGGGTTCAGCGTGTAGGTGCAGAGTGCTGTTGGGGATCAGCTTGTGTGGCAGGCCCCGCGGAAGTCGCTGTGGTGGTGTAAGCCACCAGGGAACACCCAGTGCGCTCAGTCCTCAGTGTTTCCATGAGAGCTGACACAGCGGGATTAGGGGAAGGCCCTCTTAGCCAGGGTCCCCAGGCAGCATGTAGTCCAGCCCTGTGCCCTGAGTGCTCTGTGCCACAGCGATGCCATCCTGCCTGTCTCTTCAAACAGATACAAAGGACATAGTGGCAGACATCTGGATTGGACACTATGCTGAGACAGCACCATTTTCATGGGGCAAGTCCAGTCCTGAGTCCCAGAGTGCCTGCACCCTGACCCGAGAGCCAGCACGGTCCTTCTCTAACAAGACCAAGAGCATTGTTCTATCATTTCTCCGGAAGACACCGGCCAATAGTCCAAAGTCACTGTGTGTGTGAATTAGGACGACCCACCAGTCTTGCTCTCATATGCTTTTACAGTATGTTGTATCACAATAGGCTCTGGTACAGTAGGATGTGTTACAGTAGGCTCTATTACACTATGCTCTGTGATGAGTAGGCTGTGTTAGAGTAGGATGTATGATGGTAGGCTTTGTCACAGAAGGCTGTGTCATAGTAGGAACTATTACACTAGGCTATGTGACAAGTAGGCTGTGTGACAGTAGGCTGTGTGACCAGTAGGCTGTGTGACAGTAGGCTGTGTGACCAGTAGGCTGTAACACAATACGCTGTGTAACAGTAGGCTGTGTTACATTAGGATGTGTCACAGTAGGCAGTGTTATAGTAGGCTCTCTTGACTAAGCTGTGTGACAGTATGAGGAGTTACAGTAGGCTATGTGACCAATAGGCTGTGTTACAGTGGGCTGAGTCAAAGTAGGCTATGTTACAGTAGGCTGTGTGACCAATAGGCTGTGTCACAGAAGGCTATGTCACAATAGGCTGTGTTACCTGTAGACTGTGATACACTAATGTGTGTAACAGTAGGATGTGTCACAGTAGGCTGTGTGATAGTAGGCTGTGTTACAGTATGATATGTCACAGTAGGCTGTGTCAGATTAGGCTGTATGACTAGTAGGCTCTGTCAGAGTAGGCTGTTACACTAGGCTGTCAAGGTAGGCTGTGTCACAGTACGATATGTCACAGTAGGCTGTGTCACAGTAGAATGTGTCACAGAAGAATTGTGACCAATAGGCTATCACAATAGGATATGTGACAGTAGGTTGTGTCATAGTAGGCTGTGTGACCAGTAGTCTGTGTCACTCTAGGCTGTGTCACAGTAGGCTGTGTGACCTGTAGAATGTGGTACAGTAGTCTGTGTCACAGTAGGATGTATCACAGTAGGCTGTGACCAGTAGGCTGTATTAGAGTAGGCTGTGTGACAGTAAGCTGTGTAAGAGTAGGATGAGTCACAGTACGCTGTTACAGTAAGCTGTGTAACATAAGCTGTGTCAGAGTAGGCTGTGTGAAAGTAGGTCGTGTCACAGTAGCCTGTGTGATCAGTAGACTCTGTGACAGGCTGTGTGACAGTAGGCAATGTTACACTAGGCTTTGTTAAACGAGGCTGTGTCATAGTAGGCTGAGTGATGGTAGGCTGTGTGAAAGTAAGATGTGTTACCTATAAGCTGTTACACAGTGCGTTGTGTGACCAGTAGGCTGGGTCACAGTAGGCTCTGTTACAATAGGCCGTGACACAGTAGGCTCTGTTACACTAGGCTGTGTCAACATAGGTTGTTACAGTAATTTATGTGAAAGCTAGACTGTGGCACAGTGGGCTGAGTTACAGTAGTGGGTTACACTAGGCTGTGTGACCAGAAGACTGTGTGAACAGCAGGCTGTGTTTGGTAGGGTATGTTATAGAATGCTGTGTGACCAGTAGGATGTGTTACAATAGGCTGTGTCACAGTAGGCTATGTCACGGAAGGCTGTGTGACCACTAGGCTTTGTCACAAAGGGATATTGCACAGTAGGATGTGTGACCAGTAGGCTGTGTCACAGTAGGATATATCACAGTAGGCTTTGTCAAAGTACTCTGTAACCAGTACACTGTGTCACAGTAGGATGTGTCACAGTAGAATTGTGAACAGTAGGCTCTATCAAAATAGGTTATGTCACAGTAGGCTGTGTGACCAATAGGATGTGTCACAGTAGCATGTACACAGTAGAATTGTGACCAGCAGGCTGTATCACAATACTACATGTAACAGTAGGCTGTGTGACCAATAGGCTGTGTCACAGTAGGATGTGTCACAGTAGCATTGTGAACAGTAGGCTCAGTTAAAATAGGATATGTCACAGTAGGCTGTGTGACCAATTGACTGTGTCACAGTATATATGTCCACGTTGGCTGTGTGAACTGTAGGCAGTGTCACAGTAGGATGTGTCACAGTAGCATTGTGAACAGTAGGCTCAGTTAAAATAGGATATGTCACAGTAGGCTGTGTGACCAATATGACTGTGTCACAGTATGATATGTCCACGTTGGCTGTGTGAACTGTAGGCAGTGTCACAGTAGGATGTGTCACAGTAGCATTGTGAACAGTAGGCTCAGTTAAAATAGGATATGTCACAGTAGGCTGTGTGACCAATTGACTGTGTCACAGTATATATGTCCACGTTGGCTGTGTGAACTGTAGGCAGTGTCACAGTAGGATGTGTCACAGTAGCATTGTGAACAGTAGGCTCAGTCAAAATAGGATATGTCACAGTAGGCTGTGTGACCAATTGACTGTGTCACAGTATGATATGGCACAGTAGGCTGTGTGAACAGTAGGCTGTGTACTGTAGGATAGATCACAGTAGGCTTTGTCACAGTAGGCTGTGTGACCAGTAGGGTGTGTCATAGTAGGATGTACACAATAAAATTGTGGCCAGCAGACTGTGTCACAATACTATATGTATCGGTAGGCTGTGTGACCAATTGACTATGTCACAGTATATATGTCACAGTTGGCTGTGTGAACTGTAGGCTGTGTCACAGTAGGATGTTTGAAGAGTAGGTTGTGTTAATGTTGGATATTTTATGATATGCTTTGTCAAGTAGGCTGTGTGACCAATAGGCTGTGTCACAGTAGGATATATCACAGTAGGAACTGTGACCAGGAGACTGTGTCAAAGTAAGATATGTCACAGTAGGATGTGTGACCAGTAGGCTGTGTCACAGGAGGATATGTCACAGTAGCCAGTATAACCAGTACGCTGTGTCACAGTAGGATGTGTGAAAGGTAGACTGGGTTACAGTAGGATATATAAGAGTAGGCTTTGTCACAGTAGGCTTGTGAACAGTACGCTGTGTCACAGGATGTCACAGTAGAGTTGTGAACAGTAGACTGTGTCACAAAATGATAATTCACAGTAGGCTGTGTGATCAGTAGACTGTGTCCCAGTAGGATATGTCAAAATGGTTGTGTGATCAGTAGGCTCTGTCACAGTAGGATATGTCAAAATGGCTGTGTGAACTGTTTCCTGTGTCACAGTAGGATGTGTGAACCCTAGGATGATTCACAGTAGGGTATATCACAGTAGTCTTTGTCACAGTAGTCTTTAACTAGTACACTTTGTCTCAGTAGGATGTGTCACAGTAGGATGTGTCACATTAGAATTGTGAACAGTAGGCTCTGTCAAAATACTCCATGTAACGGTAGGCTGTGTGACCAGTTGGCTGTGTCACAGTATATATGGCACAGTTGGCTGTGTGAACAGTATGCTGTGTCACAGTAGGATACGCCACAGTAGTCTGTGTGAAGAGTAGGCTGTGTCATAGTGGTCTGTGTGACCAGTAGGCTGTCACAGTAGGATATGTCACAGTAGGCTTTGAAAGAGTAGGCTGTGTGAACAGTATGCTGTGTCACAGGATGTCAAAATAGGATAAGTCACGATAGGCTGTGTGATCAGTAGGCTGTGTCACGGTAGGATATGTCACAGTTGCCATTATGACCAGTATGCTGTGTGACAGTAGGATGTGTGAAGGGGAGGCTGTGTCACAGTAGGATGTGACCAGTAGGCTGTCACAGTAGGATATGTCACAGTTGCCATTATGACCAGTATGCTGTGTGACAGTAGGATGTGTGAAGGGGAGGCTGTGTCACAGTAGGATGTGACCAGTAGGCTGTCACAGTAGGATATGTCACAGTTGCCATTATGACCAGTATGCTGTGTGACAGTAGGATGTGTGAAGGGGAGGCTGTGTCACAGTAGGATGTGACCAGTAGGCTGTCACAGTAGGATATGTCACAGTTGCCATTATGACCAGTATGCTGTGTGACAGTAGGATGTGTGAAGGGGAGGCTGTGTCACAGTAGGATGTGACCAGTAGGCTGTCACAGTAGGATATGTCACAGTTGCCATTATGACCAGTATGCTGTGTGACAGGATGTGTGAAGGGGAGGCTGTGTCACAGTAGGATGTGACCAGTAGGCTGTCACAGTAGGATATGTCACAGTTGCCATTATGACCAGTATGCTGTGTGACAGTAGGATGTGTGAAGGGGAGGCTGTGTCACAGTAGGATATATCACAGTAGTCTTTGTCACAGTGGTCTGTAAATAGTACATTTTATCACAGTAGGATGTGTCACATTAGAATTCTGAACAGTAGGCTCTGCCAAAATAGGATATGTCACAGTAGGCTGTGTGATCAGTAGGGGGTGCATTAGGAGGATGTACACAGTAGAATTGTGATCAGCAGACTGTGTCACAATACTATATGTAAAGGTAGGCTGTGTGACCAATTGGCTGTGTCACATTATATATGGCACAGTAGCCTGTGTGAATAGTAGGCTGTGTCACAGTAGGATGTGCGAAGAGTAGGCTGTGTTAATGGAGGATATATCACAGTAGGCTTTGTCACCGTAGGCTGTATGACAGGTACGCTGAGTCACAGGATGTCACAGAAGTATATGGGACAGTAGAATTTTGTATATTAGGCTGTGTCACATTAGGATATCTGACAGTAGGCTGTGTGACCAGTACGTTATGTCACAGTAGGCTGTGTGAACAGTAGGCCTTGTCATAGTAGGATATATCACAGTAGCCAGTATGAACATTAGGCTGTGTCACAGTAGGATGTGTGAAAGGTAGTCTGTGTTACACTGGGATATATCACAGTAGCTTTGTCACAGTAGGCTGTGTGAACGTTAGGCTGTGTCACAGTAGGATGTGTGAACGTTAGGCTGTGTCACAGTAGGATATATCACAGTAGGCTCTGTCACAGTAGGTGGTGGGAAAAGTACACTGTGTCACAAGATGTCAGAGAAGGATGTGTCACAGTAGCATTGTTAACAGTAGGCTCTGTCAAAATAGGATATGTCACAGTAGGCTGTGTGACCAGTAGTGTGTGTCAGAGTAGGATGTACACAGTAGAATTGTGACCAGCAGGCTGTGTCACAATACTACATGTAACGGTAGGATGTGTGACCAATTAGTCTGTGTTACACTGGGATATATCACAGTAGGCTTTGTCACAGTAGGCTGTGTGAAACGTTGACTGTGTCACAGAAGGATATCTCACAATGGCTGTGTAAACTGTAGGCTGTGTCACAGTAGAATTTGTCACAGTAGGCTGTGTGAACAGTATGCTGTGTCATTGTAGGATACGCCCCGTAGGCTATGTGAAGAGTACGCTGTGTCATAGTGGTCTGTGTGACCAGTAGGCTGTGTCACAGTAGAATTTGTCACAGTAGGCTTTGTCAGTGTAGGCTGTGTGAACAGTACGCTGTGTCACAAGATGACACAATAGGATAAGTCAAAATAGGCTGTGATCAGTAGGCTCTGTCACAATAGGATATCTCACAATGCTGTGTGAACTGTAGGCTGTGTCACAGTAGGATATCTCACAAGTAGGTTGTGTTAATGTTGGATATTTTATGATATGCTTTGTCAAGTAGGCTGTGTGACCAATAGGCTGTGTCACAGTAGGATATATCACAGTAGGAACTGTGACCAGGAGACTGTGTCAAAGTAAGATATGTCACAGTAGGATGTGTGACCAGTAGGCTGTGTCAAATTAGGATATGTCACTGTAGACTGTCACAGTAGGTTGTGTGAATATGCTGTGTCACACTAGGATGTGTCACAGTAAAATTGTGACCAGTAGATTGAGTCATAATAGGATATGGCACAGTAAGCTGTGTGACCAATAGGCTGTTAAGGCTGTGTCACAGTTGGATATGTCAGAGTAGGCTGTGTGAACAGTAGGCTGTGTCACCTTAGGCTGTGTGATCAGGAGGTTGCGTCACAGTAGGATATGTCAGTAGAAATGTAACCAATAGGATATTTCAAAGAAGGCTGTGTGACTCACAGTAGGATACGTCACAGTAGGATGTGATCAGTAGTCTGTCACAGTAGGATGTGTCACCGTAGGCTGTGTCACAGTATGTTGTGTGACCAGTAGGCTCTGTCACAGTATTCTGAGTGACCAGTAGGATGTGTCACAGTAGGCTGTGTGACCTTTAGGCTCTGTCACAGTAGGCTGTGTGACCTCTAGGCTTTGTCACATGAGGGTATGTCACTGTAGGCTGTGTGACTAGTAGGCTATGTCACAGTAGCATATGTCACAGTTGGCTATGTAACCATTAGCTCCTTTCATAGAAGGCTGTGTTACAGTAGACACTGTCACTGTAGCCTGTGTGACCAGTATGCTGTGTCACAGTAGGTTATGTCACAGTAGGCTGTGTTACCAGCAGGCTGTGACCACTAGTCTGTGTGACCGGTATTCTATGTTATAGTAGGCTGTGTCACAGTAGGATGTGTCATAGTAGGCTGTGTCACAGTAGGCTATGACCAGTTGGTTGTGTGACCAGTAGGCTGTGTCACAGCAGGCTCTGTTACAGTAGGCTATGTCATAGTAGGCTGTGTTACAGTAGGCTGTGTCAGATTAGGCTGTGTGACCAGTGTGCTGTGTGACCTGTAGGATGTGTCACCGTAGGCTGTGTCACAGTAGGTTGTTTGACCTGTCGGTTTTGTGACCAGTAGGCTGTTTCACAGTAGTCTGTTTCACAGTAGGATATGTCATAGTAGGATGTGTCACAGTAGGCTGTGTCAGTAGTTTGTGTCACAGTAGGCTGTGTGACCAGTAGGTTGTGTGATCAGTATGTTTGTCTCAGTAGGTTATGTCACAGTAGGATGTGTTTCAGTATGCTGTGTCACAGTATGTGTTACGGTAGTCTGTGTGACCAGTAGAGAGTGTTTACAGTTGGGAGTGCTGCGAGCCGGGTTTGCCATTGGATTGTGCTTCCAGTGGGGTGTGTGCCAGTGGGGTTTGTTGCCAGTGGGGTGTGTTGCCAAAGTGGTGTGTTACAGTAGGATTGTTGCCATTCAATGGCTATTCATTAGTCATCAGTGTGTTTTCTTCATGTGATCACTAAGAATGGAATACCAGGTGGAAATAATGATAGAAAAGGCATGATTTGCCCAGTGGCAATGATTTCTCTCCTTTGCTGTCTGGGGCTAACAGAGGTGGTTTTAGGGAAAATTCCAATCTTTCACTGGGTAACCAAAACAGTGACCCTCTGATCCACCGGGATCAGTCACATTTCTGTGTAAATCCTGTTTCTTCATCTTTATAAACTGCCATTCCTGGGTAGAGGGTTTTGACTTTGCCTTTCACTGGGAGCTGTTGCTGAGGGCAGGTGCTGCTCAGAGCTAACGGGGCTGCTGGTCTTCTCCCCTCCCCTCCCCCCTGCAGGGCGATGCTGATGACCGCGTGTGACCTCTCTGCCATCACGAAGCCCTGGCCCATTCAGCAACGGGTACGTCGCTTAGTGACGCGCAATTAACCCTTAAAAATCAAAGTCAGGAGTGTCTTCACTCTCCATGGCGGCTTCTGGCATATTGGTGGTAATTATGATGTCATTTTTAAGTGGCATGAAAAGCAGGCAGTTGGACATAAGTGTTCTTCGTGGAAGATTCATTAGCACTTAATGAGACTTGTGAGGTATCTGAAGGAGGAGGACACCTCACGGTTGGTAAGTTTGACTTTGGTAAGTACCACTTCTGGCTAGCTTAGCGATGGTTTTAACGCATCCCTTTAACAGTGGAACAGGGAAGGAATGGCATTTTCATTTCCCTTTTCTTTCTTCCACATCAGCCCTGGGAAGGCAGAGTGGTGAGGCCGGGTCCGGACCTACAAAGCAGCACTGTAAGACCTCTGTAATCAAAGCAGGTGGTGAGGGCGACAGACACGGAGTCCATAGAACATTAGGCACCGCGCAGAACACTCGGTGGACAGTAGAGGTGGCGTTTAAAATAACCGGGCAAGGGCAGACTTAAATAGTGTGAGGATGTCTTCCCTGTCTCCACAGCCAGATAGCGAGAGGCAGAGTAGGACCCAGTCTGCAAAGGTAGAGTCTGCGTGGAGCAGGGAGCTCGGTGCAGAGAATTAAGCCATCCGGGTGCTAAATACGAACACTGCAGTCTTCTGCCGCCCAGGAATGAGGAGACCTTCCGGCCTGTGGCTCAGCGTGCAAAAGCATTACAGGAAAAGATGAATGCATTTGATTCCATACAAATGGAAACATTAAGAACTTCTGCATGGCAAAAGACAGTATAAGCAAAGCAAAAGACCATGATACACTGATAAAAATATTTGCAACTTCTTTCTGATAGTTAATATCACTAATATTAAAGAACTTCTGAAAAACAAAGAAGAGCCCTCGCCGGTTTGGCTCAGTGGATAGAGCATCGGCCCAAAGTTCATCCCCAGGGTACTGACTAGTAAGCCGAGTACTTTACACCACGAGTTCCATGGGGCTGGGACAGGAATTGAGCATCATCTGTAACCATCATGGAGTGATCACAAGGGTGCATTTTATGTGAGAAAAAAAAGACAGAAGGATTAACCACAAGGCAAGTTAAGGAGGGAAGAGGGGTGAGGAACAGAGATGCTAGCCGGAGCTGCTTCGCTAGGCTTGTTTTGTAGATTTAACTTTGGGACCATATAAATAGTGCTGATATTCCTATATAATAAAAGGTTAATATGCAAATCAACCGAATGGCAGAACAACCAGGCATTATGACACACACTGACCACTAGGGGGCAGACGCCCAATGCAAGGGCTGCCCCTTGATGGTCAATGCGCTCCCACAGGGAGAGCACCGCTCAGCCAGAAGCTGGGCTCACAGCTGGCGAGTGCAGCGGTGGTGGCAGGAGCCTCTTCCACCTCCTCGGTAGCACTAAGGATGTCCAACTGACGGCTCCCAGACTGCAAGAGGGTGCAGGCTGGGCTGAGGGACCGCCCCCCCCCCAAGTGCATGAATTTCATGCATCAGGCCTCTAGTCCTATATATTAAAGAGGTAATATGCAAATGGTTGTTATGCCATAACGTGTAACGTCCAATCAGCAGGAGGGTGGGGCAGCAAACTACGAGCAGTGGAAAGCTACAGGAGGGCAGGGCAGTGAACTATAAGCAGCAGAGAGTACAGGAGGACAGGGCAGTGAGCTACGAGTGGTAGAGAGCTACAGGAGGGCAGGGCAGTGAGCTATCAGCAGCAGAGAGCTACAGGAGGACAGGGCAGTGAGCTATGAGTGGCGGAGAGCTACAGGAGGGCGGGGCAGTGGGCGGAGAGCTACAGGAGGGCGGGGCAGCAAGCTAAGTGTGGAGGAGAGCTAAGAGCAGCGGTGGGTGGGGCGGCCAGCTGAGGCAGTGGCTACTCATGCATGGATTCGTGCACAGAGCCACTAGTTATAAAATAAAACTAGAGGCCCAGTGCACAAATTCATGTACCAATGGGGTCCCTGGGCCAGGCCTGCAAGATCAGGCCAAAACCGGCCCTCTGACATCCTCCAAGGAATCTTGGATTGTGAGAGGGCACAGGCCAGGCCGAGGGACCCCACCAGGGCACAATCAGGGCCAGGGAGGGATGCGGGAGTTTGGCCAGCCAGGAAGGGACCACGGAAGGGCTCCAGGGTGTGTCTGGCCCTTCTCGCTCAGTCCTGATTGGCCCGACCCCAGCAGCAAGCTAAACTACTGGTTGGAGCATCTGCCCCCTGATGGACAGTGCATGTCATAGCAAGTGGTTGAGCAGCCTTAGCATATCATTAGTATATTACACGTTGATTGGTGGAACAGATGACCAGATACTTAGCATATTAGGCTTCTATTATATAGGATTAAATTTTGAACATCACTCAGCCTTGAAAGTAACATGAACCTGATTTGGGTTGTGAAACCACACGGAGGGCGACTGTTGCATTTCAGGTGACATTAACACAACAACCGAACCATGCATCTCTAGTAGGATGCGCCTTCAAAACCACAGCGTCACCAAAACAAGCCCTGGAAGCTGCTCTCAGGGATGGTGTCGTTAGTGCGATGCTGTGTAGCTGTTCAGCCCCTGCTGTAGGTGATGAGGGTAGAAGCAGGTAAGGAAGTCCATGGGGTGTTGAGAAGTAGGATTTGGGAGTAAGTGGTGATGAAGATCATGGACAAAGTCAGGCAGGGATGCGGATGCCGGGAATGAGAGTTTGTAGGAACCTGTGTTGTGCCCTAGCTTCGCCCCCCTCGCAGGGCTTACATGGGTCACCATGGTTAATGAGCAAACCTGGTGCCACTGAGGCTTCTGAACACCTCCCTGGAGAGGAGCGCGGGCTCCGGAGAGAAATGGCTGGTCCTGGGGCTGAAGCAGGAGACGGCCAGGAAATGGGTCCTGGCAGGTGACCAGGTGACCTGGAGCAGCAGGGAGCGAGGAGGTGCAGGCTGAGCGGGTCCTGGTGGTACCAGAGAAGTCGTGCGCTGAGCATCCACTGGCTGAAAGGGGACAATCTGTGCATCATGAGGGATCAGAATACGTTAAATACGTTTAAATTTCAGAGTTTGAAGTAATGATCAAGGTAAGGAAACAAAGCCTCGCCTGGTCATCTTTGGCGGATGCTTTGGGAGAACCAAGTTAGTTTTAAAATGGTAACAAAAGTGGGGAACACGCATTTCCCCTGCTTTTTTATGCCAGCGGTGCTTTAGGGGAGCCAGTTAACTTTCTCTTCATTGTATTTCACCTAATAAAGCAGAAAGGAATGATTGGTTGGCTGTCAGCTTTGCAGCCCCTACATCACTGGAGGTAGACAGAGGTCACGAAAAGAGTCAACCAGGCCTTCGCTCGGAGCCGCGTCAGGAGGACGCTGCCTCTGAGCAAAGATGCAAGTTAGAAAGATCCCGTCTCGATCTCATCGCAGCTCCACATCTCATCACCAGTGACAGAAACGGCACAGGTGCCCAATCCATCCGAGACGCGGTCAGCAAAGCCTAGACAGTGGGACTGCAGGCGGCAAAACCCAGCGAATTCAACATATTCAATAAGAACAACCACAGAAATCATAAGGGAAGCGCTTGCAGTGGTTCCCAACCTTCCTAATGCCGCGACCCTTTAATACAGCTCCTCATGTTGTGGTGACCCCCAAGCATTAAATTATTTTCGTTGCTACTTCATAACTGTCATTTTGCTACTGTTATGAATCGTAATGTAAATATTTGATATGCAGGATGTATTTTCAGGGGTTGCAACCCACAGATTGAGAACCACTGGCTTAGAAGGAGAAGGGAGGGCCCGGGAGGTTAAAGCCACAAGGCCTATGAAGGGAGTGCAAAGGTCGCGCCTACCTGCTGTATATTCACAGCCCGGGAACCTGTGCCTGATGCCTCGCTGATTGCGCTCCCACACGGGCTCCCTGCTTTTCCCGGCTAAGCGCTGAAGATGTGACGGCAGCTTTTTCTGCGTAGTGAGAGGGTGCGGACTCCACCTTGGTGACCAGCACACATTAAAAGCAAAGGGGATACAATTTCATTCCCCGTTCCTGCCTGGTCCTAAGTGTACTGATGTGTTTGAAAGCTATAGACCTGACCAGTTTTAGTACCTTTTATTTTTAACTTAAAATCATATATATTTCAAAAACAGATAAAACCAAACAATTTTTTTTCAATGCCTACACACATATGGTAACATAATAAATGAAATACACAAAATTTAGGGCACATTTACTTGTGCAGGTGTAGTAGGGTAAAAGTGTTAGGAATGGATATACAGGTCTTGAGAGGTACAAGTAATATTCTATTTGCAAAATTCATAACTTGGTATTTTTTATCAATATTTTACCATGTACTTACACATCATAAATACTCCTAATTCTGTAGTTTATAACACTGACGCATTTTAAAAGTTTTATGGTGTTTTAGCATATAAAACGGTATAACTATGTAGGATTATCCTTTTTTAATAATACAGCATAAAGTATTTATATTTTCCTCTTTATAATTGCTTTCGAGCCTATGTTTTGTGAATTATTTGTCCTTATATTGATGACTTGTATTTGGAAAGCATTGAAAATGCTATTGTAACTTTTAAGATTTCTGTCAAAAATACAGGAACATTCTTTGTTCTATTTATATAAACTATCAACATTTGAAAAACCGATAAGAATTCTAATGCTGTTTATCTGAAACTCCAAAGAGCCATTGAACTTTGGAGATCCAGGACTTCAGTCTCTTTCAGAGAAAAGGCTGTGACCCCCAGATGCCCTGTGTTGTCTATTTCACAGAGAAGAGGGTGTAACCCCCGAACGCCCTGTGCTGTCTGTTTCAGATCGCAGAGCTTGTGGCGGCGGAATTCTTTGACCAAGGAGACAAAGAGAGAAGAGAACTCAACATAGAGCCTGCGGTGAGTGTGAGGCCCATAGCTAGGAATTATTAAATAATGACTCAGGAGCTTTTTTGTTATGAACTTCTCTTTAGGTGTCAGTGAGGTCTTTCCTTAGGAACACGGCTTCTCATTCTGCTTTCCATCCTGTTATACCTACTGTTTTGTAATTTGCTTTTTCCATTTAAGTATCATCAGCCACTTTTCATTCCAACAATGCTACCCTCCAAATATTGTTTATCGTGGTTACATAAAGCAGATCTAACGTCACTCACCCACGTCCCTGGGTGGATATTTGCGATGCTCACCAACCACCCAGCACCATGATAATCGTCTATGGTGCTGAGCATGTCCATCGTCCTGTTAGGATGGATTCCCAGAAGGGCGCATGGATTTTGAAGGTTTTTTTGAACACCTACTTCCTTTTGCATAGGGTATGGATCTCAAATACAAGAAAAAGATTCCCCTTGAACCATTTGGAACGAGTTTTCCTGCACATGAAGCAGAGAGTCATTTTTTCCAATTCCAATGGACGTTTATTGGGCCCGTGGTGAATGGGCCGTGGTTAACAAAGGCCCAGGCTGTGTCTCACTCGTCTCTTCCAGTTGCACAGTGTGAGGTGGGCTGTTTGAAGCTCAGAATCTTCTTAGAAAGTGATGGACAGAGTGGTGGTGACAGCGAGGGAGGATGTGCTTGACTGAAAGCCCCAGACAGACGCGGTGCTTCCCACGCGGGTGCTGGCTCACCTGGTCTCATCACGAGCTCTTGGGCGAAGCAGCAGTAGCACCTGCAGAGCCTCCCTCGGAGGCTCATGACCTGAATTGTACCCACTGTGGCCTCGGCGCCTCCCACAGAGAAGGTGTTAGATCCATAGCTGAATGCAGTTCACAGATTGCGTGTCCTTCAAGTACACGTCAGCGGTCGGTTCTACATCAGAAATGAATGTTAGTTCAGTAGTTGGATGCAAGTCAGTGGTCAGCTCTAGGACAGTGTCAGTTCTAGGATTGTCAATTCTAGGACAGTGTCAACTCTAGGACAATGTCAGCTCTAGGAGTGTCAGCTCTAGGACAGTGTCAGCTCTAGGATTGTCAATTCTAGGACAGTGTCAACTCTAGGACAATGTCAGCTCTAGGAGTGTCAGCTCTAGGACAGTGTCAGCTCTAGGATTGTCAATTCTAGGACAGTGTCAACTCTAGGACAATGTCAGCTCTAGGAGTGTCAGCTCTAGGACAGTGTCAGCTCTAGGATTGTCAATTCTAGGACAGTGTCAACTCTAGGACAATGTCAGCTCTAGGAGTGTCAGCTCTAGGACAGTGTCAGCTCTAGGATTGTCAATTCTAGGACAGTGTCAACTCTAGGACAATGTCAGCTCTAGGAGTGTCAGCTCTAGGACAGTGTCAGCTCTAGGATTGTCAATTCTAGGACAGTGTCAACTCTAGGACAATGTCAGCTCTAGGAGTGTCAGCTCTAGGACAGTGTCAGCTCTAGGATTGTCAATTCTAGGACAGTGTCAACTCTAGGACAATGTCAGCTCTAGGAGTGTCAGCTCTAGGACAGTGTCAGCTCTAGGACAGTCAGCTCTAGGACAGTGTCAGTTCTACACTTGATCTTAGCCAAAAGGCCGAGAAGCGATGACAGTGTCAGCTCTAGGACAGGGTCAGCTCTAGGGCAATGTCAGCTCTAGGACAGTGTCAGCTCTAGGACAGTCAGCTCTAGGACAGTGTCAGTTCTACACTTGATCTTAGCCAAAAGGCCGAGAAGCGATGACAGTGTCAGCTCTAGGACAGGGTCAGCTCTAGGGCAATGTCAGCTCTAGGACAGTGTCAGCTCTAGGACAGTCAGCTCTAGGACAGTGTCAGTTCTACACTTGATCTTAGCCAAAAGGCCGAGAAGCGATGACAGTGTCAGCTCTAGGACAGGGTCAGCTCTAGGGCAATGTCAGCTCTAGGACAGTGTCAGCTCTAGGGCAGCGGTTAGTTCCGGGTGATGTGGGAAGGTCACCGCCAGGACAAAAGGCTGAGGATCGGGCCTTCCTGAGGGTGCTGCCTCGGGCAGTGCCAGAGGCTGGCAAAGGTCAGAAGGCAGTAAGTGCCAGCCCATCCTCCCCTGGCCCGGGACGGGCACTGTGCTCTTTCCGTGGCTCCAGGTCTGAGTGTCTCTCCCTGTGTTTGTGCTTCAGGACCTCATGAACAGGGAGAAGAAGAACAAGATCCCGAGTATGCAGGTGGGCTTCATCGACGCCATCTGCCTGCAGCTGTATGAGGTATCTCCATGCACACTGCTAGGCTGCTAAACTCCTACATTTCATATTTGCAGTTTCCCAGACACTTCATGTCATCGAGTGCAGCCATAGTGAGTGCCTGCTATGTGCTAGTCCCAGCGATGAGGGTCTTAGGACTGATGTCCCAGTGACCTCCCTGAGGACATATGCTGGGCACGCTCTCTGTCAGTGTTATTCCTTTTACGTTAACTCTGGCCTAAATAGAGAAACTAATTATCCAACTCTTTCTCAGTGAACAGTGCAGCTGAATAGTGTTGATACGTGTCTGTGAGGGTAACCGAGTGGCTGGGAGACTATTGCAAGTCCTACCTCCGGGCTCCTGCTGCTTGGGGTCTTTATTTTCGAGTTGAAGATATTTGCCCTAACACATCCAGTTCACTGGTTTAGATTTTTAATGCCCCACGTACAGAAGATAGATGCTGCCCTTGTCTCTCCAAGTGTAAATGGTATCCCATCACCTAACCCTGTTGTTGGGTGTTTAAGTCAGTGTTTCTCTATTATGAAGAAATCTGCCATGAACATCCTTTTTTCTAAATATTTATGACACTATAGCAGGTAAATAATAGCACCACAAAGATTTATGAATCCATCTTTATTGTAATCGTGGATAAAAATTGATTTAAGTACATGATAAGAAAAAAATCTATATATATATAAAGAGCCAGGGGCCATCACATCCAAAACAACCAAACGGACGACCGATCAGGCTGAGTGAGGTGACAAGGCCAGCAGGGGGGTTAATGAGGAACAACCAAATGACTGAGCTGCGTGGGTCGACCAGGCCAGCAAGGGGGTTGGTGAGGGAAGACCAAACAATTGAACACCAGGCTGCGTGGGGTGACCAGGCCAGCAGATGGGGTCAGTGAGGTGCAACCAGGCTGGCAAGTGGGGCAGTGAGGAGCAACCAGGCCAGCAGGGGGAGGCAGTGAGGGGTAACCAGGCCAGCAAGGGCAGGCAGTTGGGGGCGACCAGGCCAGCAGGGGGGTTAGTAAGGGATGACCAAATGATAGCAGTAGGCTGTGTGGGGCAACCAGGTCAGCAGGGCGGTTAGTGAGGGGCGGCCAAACAACTGAACAGCAGGCTGCGTGCGGCAACCAGGCCAGCAGGGGAGGGGGGGCAGGGGGGGCCAGTTGGGGTGACCAGGCTGGAGGAGGGGCAGTTAAGGGCGATCAGGTCAGCAGACAGAGGTGGTTAGGGGTGATCAGGCTGGCAGGGGGGCTAGTTAGGGGCAATCAGGCAGGCAGGCAGGCAGGTGAGCAGTTAGGAGTCAGCAGTGTGGGCTGGGCTGAGGGGACCGCCCCCCATGCACAAATTTCATGCACTGGGCCTCTAGTTTTATAGAAAAACGCATAAACAGAGTGTCCAGGACAGTCGCAAGCAGGGGGCGACGTCTGTGCTACATAAAAAGGCAAAATGCCTTATTGCCTCACCAGCAGCTCACGGGGCCGCCCAGCCCACTGCTGTGGTTTGTGACGGCATGTTCGCCCTGTCGCAGCATGGACTCACTCCCAGGGGACCTTCTGTGTGTCACAGCCATGGTCTCTGGGTGATCACGAAGCCTGTGAAAGCCGCGGGCTGCCCGCAATGAGCAGTGCGGCCGGCACACGGGAGGGCTGCTGCCCAGCACCCCCTCAGGCGGCTCTCTCTTCTTCCCCAGGCGCTGGCGCACGTGTCCCCTGACTGCTCCCCCCTACTGGACGGCTGCAGGCACAACAGGCAGAAGTGGCAGGCGCTGGCTGAGCAGCAGGACACACTGGTCAATGGGGCTGGCGGCCCCGCCCCACGCAGCTGAGCCTGGGCCCTGGACGGGATGCTGGCGACCGCGGTCTGCACGGCCCGGCCTCGCTGGATGCTACACAGGCTGCGTGTGCCCTTCCACGGTGTCCTGGTGTGTTTGCACAGCTTCTGAGAGCACAGCGGGGACTTTTCAGGGGGCGGTCCTGCCTGCCTGTGTGTGTGTGTGCCCACTGAGCTGAGGCTCGCTAAGCACCGGACCACCCCCCTACACCACGGGACCGACCCCCCACCGCAGGTCCACGCAGGAATCGTGCTGAGAGTGCGGGCTGCGTCTCCCGTTCAGTTGGCTGTTTGACTTGGGAATTTTAAGCGATTGGTTTTGTGGTTTTGGAATCGCTGACCTTTCAAGAATGTTTGGAATCTTTTATTTCTCAAATGGAATTCCAGAGCAAATGGAATATATTTCGTGACACGTAAAACCTTCGTAAGATAGAGAAAAGTTTGGGCTGCGTGGATGTGAAAGGGGGAAGGGGCTATTTGTCAACAACGTATTATGTTAACAAAACAGTTAAAACTCCCAAGCAATGGAAAGTGCTGCAGGGCAGAATTGTTTCACTGACCATCACTGATCTTATCAACAGGCAGTGTGACCCAGAAATGCTACGGTCACCAGTTCTGCCCCTTTTTTGTGTGTAACTCCCTCAGCATTTATCATCGGTTCATCGTACAGCATAGTTTATAGGGGGCCGGTTTGCACCCCAGTGGGAAATCAAGAACCAAGTGGCCGTTGGAGCCCAGAGCTGGCGTGAGATGTGACTGCCGATAGGAGAGCGCAGCAGAAGGCCACCTGGACACGGGCTGGAAATGAGCCCGTGGGGGCTGCAGCAGGACACCCCGGCCTGAGGGACGGTCAGCAGTCTGTTTTGTGCCTGAGGCAGTGCCCAGTGTGAGCTCCTGGGACCAGTCCGCCCAGTATCACAGAATGTGGGCGTGTGCCCTAACCATGGGCCCTGAGCTGGGCCTGGTGTATTCACATCTCTCGCTTCCCATCCATTTAGAAAATGTGAACATTTTTTTTAGCATTTGAGCTCCACTCGTAGTGTGTGCTCCTGTGCACAGTCCAGCCATGGAGACACAGAGGGGGCAGGCGGCTGCTTCCAGAAAGATAATCCGCTCAAATCCGTGCAGATGTCTGGACTGAGCAGGAAGAGCGATGTTTGTTTGGTTTGTTACCTGCCCTCCAACCCCCAACAAGTGTCTGTTTTGGAGGGAAGTTTCTGGGGGGCCGGTAACAGCATTAGCAAAGCTTTCATGGAAACATGGGCTTCTACCTGGTATGTGGCATGGATAGCATTTTCCTCTAAACTGCCTAACACTCAGCAGGTGAAGTTGTATATGTACATGGACCTTGGGATAATGTGTCTGCATTCTTACCATTCAGGTTTAAAAAGGGGGGGGGCGGCAAATCTATGGCCTTCACTCTGTGAGAACGGCCAGTCTGCAGCGTTAGGGACTGCGTGATGCTGTGTGTGTGATTGTCATGACACTTGTATGTCCAGGATGTGACCCTATTTCTATCTCATGTCATTCAGATGAGCCGAGGCACCTCTTGGGGGCGCGGGTGTCTGCCACAGGCTGCCCCTGAATCACACACCTGCATCCTGTGCACACCCCTGTGTACACGTGTTCCTCAGCGTGGAACACTGTCTGAAGTGGTGTCTCTCATAACCTACTTGTCACCATGCCCTGTGACCTTGCCTCCATCTGCGTCATACGCTTCGGTTCCGACCTCCCCGCCACATGTCACTGAGACCATAAAAGCCACCGCAGATGAGTCTGGGAGGGTGTGAGGGGCCGTTTTAACAGGCAGAGAGATACACTTAGACTAGGAACCATTCGGTTTGCCTATAGATGCTCTGGTTTTACTTCACCCGTTGAGAAATTAGAACGTCTGGCACTGTAGTCCCTGCAGAAGACTTCTTTAGAGCTGGTTGCAGCCATTTTACTTCTTAGGAAAATCATTCCATACATGGGCTCCTACCTGGTACGTGGCACAAAGTTTTCATTCTCATGTGAATATTTCCTTTCCTGTCGCTTCCTAGGTGGGAAATACATGTCCAGGGTGGGCCGGTAGTGGGTTTACAGTTGTTGGTATGGAAAGTAATACAGCAATTAGTAAGTCACGCTACAAGAAAACGCTGTTTCGTGTGCTCACAGCTGTAGCCCTCCGCCTGCCCCCCTGGTGTAGGCCTCCGCTTTCCCCTGTGTCTATCACCCAAACCAGCAGGCATGCGCTCTGCTCCAGAGAAAGCGGTTGGTGTGGTTTCAGCTGAGTGACATTGCACCATTATTTCATTTCCATGTCAGCCCCCCAGCTCCCACTGCTCACTCAGCTGTTTGAATCTGTGAATGTGCCCGGCCGGGTACTTTTCGGAGCGTGGGCTTTGCTGGCCGCGATCCTGTGTGAACTCGGTGGGTCACAACCTCTGTCGCCTGGACACGGAGGCGCTGTGTTCGGGAGAAGCCTCTGTCTCCCCAGGGATGTCACAGGTGGCAGCTGTTCTGTCCACCCAGCAGCCGAGACCACTGTCGCACGAGACACGCGGCCACAGGGCTGTGATCCCACGGGTGGCTCCTCAGAGACATGCGCTCACTCGCTGCTCACGCAGACCAGACGGCTGGTGCGCAGAGGACTCGGGCTGAGCGTGGCCTCAGAGCACAGCCGGGCGTGAGATGGTCGCCTGTCTCCTAATCCCCAGCGGTGTCCTCCCAGCCCTGCTGGCCTGGAGCGTGGGAACCTGCCGGAGTGCTAGCTCCGGGGGGATGGGCCCAGCTGCGAGCCTGCCTTGCCGGGACCTGCCCGTGTCTGGCACAGAGCATGCGTGTTGGACCCCGTGGATTTCAAGTTTCCTGTGTTTCTCATCGTCTGTGCTCCTCACACTTCATGGCCGCACAAGCGATGCTGCTCTGCTTCATGCTGAGATCCTTGGCGATGAGAGAAGGAAACTGTGGCCCCGCCATTGCCTCCCCGAGCGCCTGCTTACACGGGGGCAGTGCCACTCTGCCTGGCCCGCCTCGGTCCCTGCTGACCTGTGTCCGCCTCGGTCCCCGCTCGTCCCTGCCGTGACCTGTGTCCACCTCGGTCCCCGCTCCGGTCCCTGCCATGGTCCCTGCTGACCTGTGTCCACCTCGGTCCCTGCTCAGGTCCCTGCTGACCTGTGTCCGCCTCGGTCCCCGCTCCGGTCCCTGCTGACCTGTGTCCACCTCGGTCCCCGCTCCGGTCCCTGCCATGGTCCCTGCTGACCTGTGTCCACCTCGGTCCCTGCCACGGTCCCTGCTGACCTGTGTCCGCCTCAGCCCCTGCCATGCACCAGGCGCAGGCCGCTGAGGAGACAGCACACAGCCTCGTGGGCTCCCAGCCTCGTGGGCGGCGCTGGTGGGACCAGCTCAGCGCTGAGCCTGCCTGTGTCCCACGGTGTCACTTTTGTTTTCATCGATAACCTGTGGTCATGCATTTTCTAAGGAGCTCCTCACCTGGACCTTAGGAGATCCGTCAGGACACCTGTCTTCCTGCGAGCTTGTCGCCAGCCCCAAGGGCGCTGCTGCTGGGGTGGGGCCGTGTGCTGCACTGTCCCCAGGTTGCTGGCCACAGCCTGTCCCATGCACATGGGGGCCCTTCGGCAGCTCACGCTGCCGTCCACACGCCCCCTCAAAGCCTGTGGAGACACGTCCGAACGAATGCTGTTGAAAGCCGTGTAAATAGTGGGAAATAGAAATTTCTATTACAGTTTAAGAAAACCTGATGAATCATCACTAGCCACTGTTAATATCTATTTGTATTCTTATACCTTTTCAACATATTTGAACAAATATATAGTTTCTGGCACTATTTTTGTACTAGGATAACGGAGGTACTGTGTATATTGTGTTTAGCGGTTAAGTCCACTTGAATAACTGTGGGTGTTGATTTCTCATCTTCCCCTCCCCCACCCCCACCTCCACCGGGAGAAGCATTTCAGAGGCACATCCTCTTGGGGACCAGCCCTACAGGCCACAGTCAGGGTTGCCCCCAGAGGGCAGCTCCTCACTGTGCGTTGTTCCCTCGTGTTGCCACGCTTTGTAAAAATAAAAGAATGAGCAGCCACGCATGAGTGTGGAGTGGTTATTGGGTGTGGATTTGAGGCAGCGGGAACAGGTCGAAGAGATGGAGAGACTTTAGACCTTGCTAACCTGGTCCTGCCAGCTGGGAAAAGCCCTTCCCCGGCCCAGACTCCTCTCGGCAGCCAGGGTGTCCCTCAGCCCAGCCCGCACTCCTCTTTTTAAGTGTCCTTTGCCACCCACTGCGGCCCACATTCCCCATCTCACTCCAAGAGCCCAGCCACGCTCCGGAGGACGGGCCCAGCCTCATGCCACAGAGGTGCAGGCGTGGGGGGGATGCTGGCCACATACATGGGCTGGATCCCAGCCCAGCTGCCCAGTTTCCAAGTAGGTGCGACTCCACTCAGCCCTCCTTTTACGTTTTCATTGTAAGAGGCCCCCAGTCCATGGGTGGTGGGTCCGGTGGGCACCCGGAAGCGTAGAGATGGGCGTCACTCAGCCTGCAGACTGGTGTGTTTGGGACCCACAGTGACCCCTTTGTTCCTCGAGCACAGGGCCCTCCAGCGCGGGGCAGGGGCGGGAGGTGGGGTTCAGCGCAGGGTCGCAGGCCTCGTAGGTTCTGCCTAGACAAGCCCCTTCCCATGGCCGAGGGGCTGGGCCTGCATGTCAGGGCTGAAGGCCAAGTACACGGAGCTCGCCTACAGCCAGAGTTCAGGCTTCCGGGCCACTAGAGGGCTCCAGAGTTTGAGTTGTATTTAAAAATGATCATCTCTCCGCCCCCTCCCCAAAGACACACACACACTACACACACACACACACACACACACACACACACACACACACGGCACAAACAGTGAATAGAGCCGCTTTTAAAAAGTTTTTAGGCGCTGAAAAATATCACGCTGAGTGAAATAAACCAAACTGAGAAAGACAAATGTCACATGATCTCATTTATGGAATCTAATGAACACAATGATCACACCTAACTTCCTCTGCCTTGGCCCCGCTACCATGGCTTTGTCTGGAAGGACGCCCAGAAGGTCTCCAAGTCTAAATAGCATATTACCCTTTTATTAGTATAGATAGGCACAGCCCATGGACACGGGCAATAGGGTGGGGAAGATCTGCAGGGAGGGGGTGGGAGGAGGGGGAAAAGGGGGAAGGGCGACCTCTATAATAGTATGAACACTAAAATATGTTTTAAAAAATAATAATAAAAAGGTTTTATTAGCAAAGGAGAAATAAATGGGAAAAATCAATGGAGAAAGAAGACTGGCTGCCCTTTGTCCAGTGACATTTCTTCATGATTTTCTCCAAATGAACAATAACTGACCACCGGGAGGGTCCCCCTGGCCCTCGACACCCCTCCCTGAGGCTCCCTCTCACTGAAGAGCAGCCGGCAGCTCTGCACCCCGTCCTGCAGCCGGCTGTGCTGCCTCCCCTCCGATGGGCCCTGAGTGACAGGGGCCGGTGTGGGGGTGACTCTGTGTTTAAGCCACAGGAGAGCGAGTGGACAAACACATTGAATGGGCAGAGATGATGCTCTGATTTCAAGCTACATTCAGCCTAGAAAGGAACAACGTGACATGTTTCCATTTCACAAATCACTTGTTCAAAATGGAAATCCACGGGAGTTATGAATGGAATCAAAATATTTGCATCAAAGAGATCTGGCTAGCCCAGCTGGCATGGCTCAGTGGTTGAGCATCGACCTATGAACCAGGAGGTCATGGTTTGATTCCCTGTCAGGGAACATGCCCGGATTGTGGGCTCCCAGTGTGGGGCGTGCAGGAGGCAGCCGATCCATGTTTCTCTCTCATCATTGATGTTTCTCTCTCCCTCTTCCTTCCTCTCTGAAACCAATAAAAAAATATTTTTAAAGAAGAGATCTAATTGTCATATATGATCCCCCTCTCCACTTGCTTCATTTTAAGAAGAAAAAGAGAATGTGTGAGTGTGTGTATGTGTGTGTGTGAGTGTATGTGAGTGTGTGTATGTGTGTGTGTGAGTGTATGTGAGTGTGTGTATGTGTGTATGAGTGTGTGTATTAGTGTGTGTGAGTAAGTGTGTGTGTGCATGTGATAAACACCAACTAAGCTGACTCAGTCACCTGATAGCTTCCCACGGGCACATTTTCGGTCCCTCTTTCTAAACTAAGGGACAAGATTGCATGGCTGAGGGGTCGCTGGGAGGGGGTCGAGGGAGCAACGGACATGCGCTGTGCTGTCTCCTGCAGTGACTACTCCTAGAGCCATGTCACGTCCCCGCCCTGTGTCCCCTTGCCCAGCAAGAGTGATTCAGGCTTTATGTGACCAGATCCAGCAAATTCCTGTAAAAAACACACTTCCTTTCCCAACTAGCCTGCTCCCGCCCGTGACCTCAGGGACCTTGGAGCGCTGCCTTAGCTGCCGCCAGGGCTCCTGAGGGCCGCTCTGCCGGGCCCACAGCCTTCTCCCTCGCTGCCCCTGCCTCTGGTCGGCATCCACCATCTCTCCTGGGCCTGCCACGGCCGTGAGGTTCCAGGGATAGAGTGTGCTCCCTCCTCCTCCTAGGCCGCGGGTGAAGTCCACCCTGAGTGACCCCAGACTAGGAGGGCCATGGCGTGGCCCTGTGCAGGGAGAGAGAGGTGTGGCTGAAAGATGTGTTCTTGTGGTGGGGGGAGGGGTGGTTTGAGGATTTGTGTTTATGTGTGTGTGTTTGTTTTTGTTTAATCCTCACCCAAGGATGTTTTTTCCATTGTTTTTTATAGAGAGTGGAGGGAAGGGAAGAGGAGGAAAGGGGTTGGGGGTTAGAGAGAGAGAGAGGAACATTGATGTGAGAGAGACACATCGATGGGCTGCCTCCTGCATACACCCTGACCAAGACTGGGTGTCGAATCCGCGACCCAGGTACCAGCCCTTGACCAGGAATCGAGCCCTAGACCCTTTGGTGCCTGGGCCGCCACTCACCCGTGAGCCACCAGGCAGGGCTGCTGTTGGAAAAGCAGATGGAGCGTGACCAGCCACGAGCATTCGCCTTTTCTCCTGCCCGTTCTCCGCCGTCCGCTGGGGTGACGGGGACGCTGAGTCCTGGGAATGGAAGCTGTTGGTGAGAGGCATCCTGAGCGATCACGGGACCAGCAGGGTCAGCGCATCAGGGACGAGACCCACGCTGTTTCCACGCAGACAGGTCTGAAGGCCCGGCGCTGAGCTGTCCCTGCTGCGCGTGCTCAGGGAGTGGGGATGGGACGCACCTGGTGGAGACACCTCAAGCACGTGGCCGGACACTGCCCGGGAGACGGACCCCACATGCACCAGCTGGACAACAAAGTGTGGGAATTCCTCTTCGGACTCAAGTTTCCAAATTTCCATTCAAAACCATATTTCCCATTGCGTGTAACATGACCACAGTGTATGGACTTAGAACAACCGACACAGCATCTCACCTTTCAGATCAAACCAGCC